AACAGTGTTGTCAGACAATACAGGCGAATTTCAGTCGACTCTGTGTGAATAGACACCTTGTAAAGGGAGTAAGCAACTATCCGCACATTATCAAAATATTGATAACAAACTGTGAAATCCATAAATGAACTTCCAAGTACATAATAATAGAATCATTTTATTGATACCTATTACAACCTGTTTTTAGAATGACTGGAATACTGTGGCTGTTTCACACATTGTGTCCCCCTTTTTAATTTTAACTAATTTTTACACACAGTAAAATGTAAGAGTAGATTATTTTTTTTCATCCATTTGTTATTGTGCTTTATTAGCAGTACAAATAGCAGTTTACTTATGTTTTGATTAAAGAGTTTTGAATATCTACATTAGAAAATTCTATTTTCTAATCTGATCATCTTTAGCAACTGTCCCCCTTATATTTTCACTGGAGGCTAAAAGGTATTTATAAAACTGTTGTGTTTGGTTTTTTTTAAACAAAGGGTTTGTACGGAACAAACAGCAAATTTATTGCAATTATTGAACTGTGCTATGTATATTTAAAATGCTTGTTTTCTTTTTACATTTTGTATTAGTTATAAACATGCATATAGTATGACAAACCAGAAGTAAATACCTGTGCATATATATTTTTATTTACTAAATCTGTACTCAAATGGAAAAACAGTTATGGCAATAGAACACTAAGAATATTTAAACTTTAAAGCTGTGTATAGTATGGGATTTAATTATAAGGAAAATATTATACTTATTTATTATTAATAATTCTTATAACCAGAATTACCTGTAGAAAAGATGTGTTGGTTACAATATTCTTTATTAGCTTAATTGGCGGCACATAAGCAGAAATCTACTTTATCTGTTGTTACATCTTTTGCTGCTACTTTAAAATAAATTTTAAAATTTATTTAAAATTCTGATAATTACATGAAATGTAAAGCAGTTGCAATTAAAAAGTGGCAGAATTATTTCAATAGAAACTGTTGTAAAACTGGTAATAATAACAGGTCTCTATTTATCAGAGCCTGTAGACAATCTTCAATACAGAGGTAAGCCATGCCCTCATTTAACTAAAAATAACAGTGCCACCATGATAGAAATGTGGGATGGAGACTAGAAATAAAAAAGTACAAGGTTGTTTCCCCCCCCTTCCCCCTTAAAATAGTAAAATTTCATTCTGGCAATATTCTAGAGTATTATTACAGGGTTTCTGGTGTAAGAATAAATTGAAGGGGGAGGGAATTCTTGACTGTTTTGTAACCTAAAAGCGCCCTTTTTTGTTTGTGCTTGGACGCTGGAACAGAATGCTTTACTTTCTCCAGGTATTCTTTGGAAAATGATTTTCCTTTTTTTAACTCCATGGAGCTTGGCAAAGAAGAATTGGGTTTCAGAAGTCAAAATTCATAGTTTTTGAAATAATTTTCCATCAGTCAGTGTCTGATATCCGCTTCTGTCAAATAAAAGACTAGCTGTCTTTTAACACATAAATTGTATAACCTGATATATAAAAGTTGTTAATGCAGAGGTGCAGAGCAGTGGTAAGAACATGCAGCCCCATGACTGATAATTGGAATCTGAAGGATTGACTCAACTGCCATTCTACTATATTTTAAATATTTTGCTGTATCATAAGGACTTTTACCAATATTTCACAGTTTAAGTAACTTACAATGTGTAGTATAACTACATCAGTGTGTTGCACATAAATTGTGCCTTAATGTGGAATCTTGGGCAAATCTACTCCCTCTTTAGAGTGTGAGGGCTAGGAATTCTTTCATTGCTAAAATATAAAAATTAAGTCAGAGGACGTTTTTTATATTTGGGATGAATCAGGAAACAGTCATTGTGAATAACATGAGGTTGCATTTTCTTTATAGCCGTTTGTACCCCATGTGTTGAGTGAGGGGAATATGCAGAAAAAGTTGTAATTGTGTCTACTGCTACAGCTGTGGTTGAAACTGTCAAACTATGAATTCATCATTTTCATAATTAATTTCAGATTGTTTGCGCATATGTGACTTCATTATCTGGCACAGCAAGTCAAATACAGATATTTCTTCCTTAATATTAAAGAATACTTTGTCTTCAAATTATTGTTTGACTCTTCTGTAAAAGTCTTATATTTCTTCATTCAAATGGAAATATCAAGCTATATAGTAGTGCTCTCCAATTACCATTAAATCTCAGTTAAATTTAACATCACTTTATCGCTCCAAAGCAATCCATTGTTATATTGAAAGAATCTGTCCAACAGATTACTGACATGTTTATAAGCTTCGCAGACAGCTTCACTGGCAGCTGCAGTCTGAGATATGAGAAGTGACACTTTAAATCCATATTGTTGGACGTCTTCATGGGGTAAAATAATTTCAATCCAGAATTACAATTTAAGATTACACTAATGCAAGAAACTCCATTCCTAACACAGAAAACAAAGAGTCTAGAAACCTTTTTCAGAATAGGCATTAGGTTTTCTTAAAAACTTGAAGTTACATGTTTACTAGGAAGGAAGTGAAATCCAGGATCATCTTTGCTCTGGATAAAAATTACAAAAGGCGTGGAGCAGGGAGCAGATTCACAGCAGCAGTGCCAAGGAACAGTATGCATTTGCACATAAGTCAGCATATGATGATATGAAGTGGTACACTTTCTGATTTAGTGAAAATTTTGCATAGAGCTATTGTATTTTGTGGCTTTTACTTACACAATGTTATACGCTGTGAGGGGCTGCCGTGCTGGCCCAGAGCCGCTGCCCCCACGCATGGCCACAGCGAGGCCCGGGCTGGGCTGGATGGTGCCAAGTGGCCCCTTCCCTCTGCTTTCTCAGCTCCCACCTCCTGTTGTCTCAGGAGTGCCTTTTCAGCACACCTGTAGGATTTCACTGTTGAATTTCTTTCCAGAATTGGCATCTTATACTATTTTTTTTTTAATTAAAATGTTTTATGATACCATTTTCGTGGTATAAAAATTCACATAACGAGCTATTTCAAACTTGGATGTGCTGTAGTAGTCTTAAACAGTGCCCTGACCTGGGTAATTTTTTGCTTCAGCTCCTTGTTCCTAATATTTTAATACATTACTTAGCATTTATTTCATACAAAGAATAGGGCCCTCACAGCATGCAAACAGTAAGAAAGCTGTTTCATTTCTGGCCAAACAAAGGATCATTTTTTGAAGAGATTTTACCAAATACTAATGTCAGGTGTTTCATTGCTGTGTATTTTTGGCATGTGGCATTGCGAGGCTCTGATCTGCCTCAGTCCTGCTCCAGTGTATAGACCTGACAGGGCAACAACATCCCTTTCCTATTTCTGTTTGTCCCTGTTACATAGTAACAGAAGCAATGCCCATTCCACTGGGCTTAGCTTGCCAAAATAACTCGCATTTTTACATAATTATTTGGTACAAAGATAAAAGTTTATGTTGAGAACTGCATCTGGCCCAAGATCCAAGTCATAATATTACCATATGCCAGTTTCTTCTGACTAGTCTACCATTCTGTAGAATTAGAGGAAAAACAGTACTAAATACCTGTAAACTACAGAAATTGTCTGTCTTTGCTCTTTGTGTGGTGGCAAGTGGGAATAGATGTTGCAAATGCCACAAGAGCACAAACACCTATTTGCAATGAGATGGCTTTGACTCTTAATGTGACTCTCAGTAAAACTTCTCATGGTGTTTAGTTGTGTTTCGAACAGGTGTTTTGCAGAGTAGCCACACTTGCTCAAAACAGACCTTAATTACAGAACATGAGAGCTTTTTTTGACCCTTTGTCCAAGTCAAACTTGGACTGTGCACACCTGAAGGGGAAGATCTAAATGATCTCATTTTACGTAGAGAAGTTCAGCAGTGCCATGGTTGGCTTGGCGGTTTGAAGTTGGTTTGTTTGTTGAAGTAATACACAGTAATGGTACTGTACATAAAAACATAAATTGCTAGGTTTTGATGGAAACCAAAACCACCCAACTCCATTACAGGCTGTATGTTAGGGACTCCTAAGTAGCTCCTCTTACTTGCATTTGACTTTCCTTTACAGGGACTTCAGAAGAGACCCCTAACTAGAGTTTTTGCAGGGAACAGAAGAAAATTATTTAACACGGGCAAGTGCTGGACAGCTGCATTTTTTATTAGGGTCGATATAATTTAGCAACTGACTAAGCATTCCTCTTTGTGAAAGCTTTCTCTATAGTTAGTTCCTCACTTAGTATCTTTCCAGTAGGAACATAAATACTGAAAGGAGTCACTGAAGAGGAATGGAAGAGGGTGAATCACCAGGGGCAAGTGGCAAATTATCAGGTGTCTTATGCTTTGGTTTGCAGGAATTGAGTATAAGTCACTGAGAGTGTAATTTGTTCTCAAAGGAACACCAAATGAGAAGACTGAGAGGAGGAGCACTGCATTTCAGTGTAGTCAGATCACATTTTTTGACAAGACAGGCGATCACCAAAATGCAAGAGCATGAGCAAGGCAGAAATCCTTGGGGTTTTCTAATATCTCTTGGGGGTGTCAGCATTCCTTCTCTAGCTGGAGTTGAACAATAAAATTTCAACCTGTTCACAGAGATGCCTGCTAGAGCATTCTGGGATTTTGCAACATGATTTTTGGAGCTGGGTACTTGTTTATAAACAAGAGAAATAATGTCCTTTCAAGAGAGATAACCCTCCTGATATGGAGAACTGATGTATTTCTGGAATCTTGCATCCATCTCCTGAACTTGAGCTTGAAGATTCATTATCCACATCTCCACAATATGGCTTCAGAAATCTCACAGATATATGACACTTTAAAATATGCCTTTCCCTGAGGCAAATAATTATTTAATATGCCAATGAGCTGTGATACAGCATTGTTATGAAAAGATAAGGAAAGAGCTCACATGATTTTGTTTTACAAGAGGAGATCAAAAGTACCTCAGCATTAAGGCTTTTGAGAAATATTCCTCTGGAATTTTTAAAGCTACTAATTGTATCAATAAACAGAGATTCTATAAAAAATGGAGATCATGTTCACAGCAGTTTAATTCCATTTCACAGCACAGGCAGTGAGGAAGAATAAAGGAAGTTTTCATTAATAAATTGTCTATATAAATAAAAAGAAAAAAAGGACATCCAATTGTTTTATTTTTATCAATGTATACAGTGCACATATCACCAAGTATTTTTAGATACATGAACAATAGAAATTTAAAAACACATAAAATACTGACTCCAAATGGACAAACTTAACAAATAATAATGAAGAAACTCTTCGTGGTTCAGGTGTGTCAAAGAGATTTTTAAAATATAAACACAGAATTAACAGCACTAAAGCTACTGAGTATTAAGGTAAAGCTCTATAATCATGTCCCAGAGTATCAGCACACTTATTCAATTCAGCTTTATTAGCACCTTGGTACTATTTGCTGAATGGCTCCCAGTTACTATTAAATTACCAACACCAGATGTCAAAGAAACAATTTTTTTAAGCAATATGCAAAAAGCTCTTTTTCCGCCCAGCAGTTCTTTAGATAAAACATACAATAAACACAGAGAAGAAAAAGTACTTGCTATTTAATTTTCTAACACTTAATTACTACATTATCTGTACTGTAAGAAATTCTTCAGTATTGTTGGCAACTGGAGTTGTGGAACAAGATGCAGTCTAGCTCTTCCTATGTAATTTCGGATACGTAGTCGGCAGAGCTGACACAGAGAGGATGGTGTGGCTGCAAACAATAAAGGAAGGAGTTTAATTGCAAATGTGGCCTTTTTCTTCATTCCTTTTCCTTCATTGCCTTTCTGCCCTCAAAGATAAAGACAGGGGCTGCTGAAACCTTGTTCATAGTTAGGGAAATACTGAAGAAAGCAAGGTAAGGTCAGTGTTTTTAAATTAAAAATGTGCTCCCAGAAAATAACTTTAAAAACTGCAAGGTTGCTGTTTTTTTTTTAATTCACAGAGCAGATGAGATACCTGCTACAGCACTACAAGCTGCACTACTGATGCATCACTGCAACAAAAATAAGCAGCCAAAATACCCCAAGCCTCTGAATCATGTTTAGTGATCTTACTAGCTCATCACAATGCCTTTATCCCTCTGTCCCCCACTCTCTCAAAGTGAACATTGCTGTTTTCTCTGGACTATAAACTCATATCTGTTTCTTACCAAGTAATTTTTTTTTTTTTTTTACATCTTTGCTGTGACTTTCAAAAATACTACTAGTCTTGGTAAATTTGTGAAAACCTCTAGTTTTTAGAGGGGTTTTGTTAATAGCATTCAGACTACAGAGTTGTTTCCTTGAGGAAAACATGAATCAGTGTTACTCATCAGTTCACCTCTAAAGAGATGCCCAGTTATTGAAATAGTTTCTTTCTCTTGTGGCTTATTTTTACATTATACATATGTCAGTCGGAAAAAATCCAGTTCCCTTAAGGATATTCTCTCTCCAAAGCAACAGACCTTTAAGAGTTTTGAGGGACTCTTGAGTTTCGACTCCTATTTCTCAGGTTCTTATAATTTCATAGAGAAAATTTAGAAAATGAGATTTTTTTAATACCTTTTGCCCACAATAAAAATAAAGTCCTTTATATGCACTTAAAAATATATTTTTAAAGATTTTGTGACAGCTGACCAAAATGAAATACATTTTTAATCTGAAATTTAAATAGTTTCTTTTTAACAAGGTCTGTAACAGCCAATAAAAATATAGCTTTAATGTCAACTTGTGTAAACACACAAAAAACACAGGATGATGCTTTTTCAGCTTGTATAAATTTTGATGCTGCTTGGCCAATGGGCTCTATCTAGCCTGAGACTAAATATTCCTGATTATTTTTATAGTTAAAAAGAAAATTACCTGAATGCTAATATATTTATTTAATAAAGCACAATGTAACATCTACAACATGGGTTGTTTGCATTGTTCGGTTGAGGGTTTTTCGAAAAAAAAATTTTTTTTTACAGTTACAGTTGCAAAAACACACACAAAAAACTTACCTTCATGGAAGAGCAGCAGTCTCTCCACTAAACTGCTAGGAGCAGCTAAATCAACAGGCCTCTCAAAATCTGAATTTTTGGCATTTATGTCTGCCCCAAATTCAAGAAGTAAGTTTACAATCTCTGTACTAGAATGCTGGGCAGCAGCATGCAGTGGAGTTTGCAAATGCTTTCCCTTCTGCACATTGGCACCTGATGGGTAGATGCACATAAAGAGATGTCAGAAGAGATTAACTAAAATTGCCATTAAGTAATGATGGGGCTTCAAAATAAACAAAAAACCCCACTGTCCTAGAATGCTCCAGTGCATTTAGTGCTTTATTAATTCCACTGCAGAGAACTATAACTAACCATATCAATACAGCTTGCTTTATCCTATGTTTTATTACCCAAGTACAACCATATAAAAAGAAAAATCAAATCAGATCACATGAGCACATTACTTTTTGTAAACATTTACTAAAATTTGCTCTACATAAAAAATATACTTTTTTTATCTGAATATTTTTAAAAAATCACTAAACTGAGGTTTTGTAAGTATATGTTTATAAGTACACCAACTCAAAAAGGAATCCAGCGTGGATGCCTTATAGTTTTTCATGTGTTGAAGCTGGCAAAGTGTTTGTAATAGACTCCCCATCCCATCCCATCCAACCTTTATCAAGGATTTATCTATAAATTAAATAATTTAAATTAAGGTAGGATATACAGTCAAGAAAACTAATAGGGAAAAAAATCCCCTGGTACTATTAATTCTCCCAATCATGGAATTCTAATTAATACACTTTTGTATTAAGAAAGGTTAACTTATTTTAACTTAAAATTGATGAAATTAATTTGCAGTAATGCATTCATATTCAAGAAAAAAATCCATATAAGAGTTAAATCAAACCAGCCAGTATGGAAGAATTTCTCTTACAGGCAAGCTGATAGACCCCCTAAAACTGAGTTGGCCCCAACAGTTTTCTACATTATTCTAGCAGAAGAAAAACCAAGACTTCTTAAGATAGATTTGCTAATCTTGTGAGATCAGAAATTAGCTTCTGTACCAACTTTATTCCCCGAATCAACACTTTTTGCCTTTTAAATTCCCTTTTGAGTAAAATAATTTGTCACAAGCCTACTGTTCTCAATAGTAACAATTTGAGAATACTTCTGCAGTACCATTTTCTTGCTTATTTCATTGTCTCTTTGCTGTGCTTTTCAACTTCTAATACATCCTTGCAAATCAATAAAATATAAAAAATTTCAGACTTACAGAATTATTTACTTATATTCTCAGTTTACATATCCTTTTCTACTCCAGGCAACCAACATATATAGAATATGCCATTCTATTACTGTTTTTTATGTATTGTAGTATTTCAATCCCAAAATACGCTAATTATACTTTTGCTTTTCTTAAAAATGAAAAGTCATAACATAGGATAATTAATCATCTGAAGAGACTGAATCAATGAGAAACAATTTAACTGTTTGTTTAAGTTCTAAATATAACATGCAATCAACTAGAAGAACAATTCTGGTGCAATGGCTGAATTATTCATATATATATTTTTATTCATTGTGCTACAGGACATGAAAGCCCTGTATGTCATTACCTGAAACACAGCAAATGATTCTGTAGCTATGCCCATTGTGTCCCTGGGCTTGTACTAAAACAGACTGAGCCTCCAACATCTCTTTCCAGTTGATTAAATAAATAATGAAATTTAGGAAATTTGTTATTTTGAAATTTGTGAAATTTAGGATCAAATACTTTTAAGCTCTTCCCTCTGCAACTCAGCCTCTCTGCCTTGTGAAAAGATCAATCAGAATATTCTGAAGAGTGAAAGAAAGTGGGACTACATTGCTAAAATAGTTCTGTTGAAATCTCAATGATTGCTACCTAAAATTCCTTTCTCAAAGCTAATTTTTTTAACCTTGTCTTTCTTACAGGAAATGTCTAGCTACAAATCTGTAGTAGGTGCTAAAAATGTTGAACATCCATCTTTATTTGTCTTGCTTCCTTTTTTGGTCATATGCTCACTATACCACCAGTAATTTATTGTAAGAAAAGGTGCATCACAGCGTAACATTTGAAGCAGAGCCCTGCAAGCAAGTGTTCTAGTTCCAATGATTCAGCGGAGCTAACTTTAAAGGTGAGTAGAGTATGCTTATTTTACAGACTAGTAATATTTTTATTTAAATCATTACGTACCTGCATAAAGAAGCTTTCGAATGCAATGGATCTGCTGTGAAACACAAGCTACATACAGAGGTGTTCCTAAATGAGGAAGGTCTTGGTCAACATCTATACCCCAGGATATCAGTACCTCCAGACATTCACTGTGACCTGTCAGTACAAAGCATGACAGAGTTTGCTCAACTTCTGTAAGCTGTCTCAGACAAAACCTCACACATTTCTTAACCCTGAGACATTGGTTAACTGCCCCGTGTTTAGTCAGCAGTAATTTCTTACCTCTGCTGGCTGCTTCATGAGTTGGTGAAGGCAGACAGGACTCCCACTGAGCTTTGGCACCATACTGTAACAGAAGCTCAGCACATGCCGCACTGCCTCTCGAACAGGCATTAAATAAGGGTGTCACTCCATCAATTGTTGTAGCATTTACCTAGAATACATATAGTCTATTTAAGAACAGAATTGAAAAAAAGGTAGATTTTTAAACAGGAAATAGTTAGAAATTGCATTAAAATATATATTTAAAAAAATAAAATAAAAGATACTAGTTAGAATAATAGCACAACAGACCAGTCCCTGTCCTCCTCATACCACACCCTTCATTTGAAATTAGTTTACTAATATTCTTGTTAAACTATGCTGAATAAACCAAAATACACCTTGAATACTAAAGAGCACACTTTGATATCTGGGCAGTAAATAATTTTCAAAAGTCATTGCAATGACTTGTTTCACTTACACAGAAAATCTACACTTGGGTAGTATCAGTTTAACAGGGACCTTCTCTCCGCAGCTCTGACAAGTCCATATTAAATGTGAGAATTATTTGCCATGTTTTTCTGTAGTTTTAGTCTCCAGGTTGGAGTGATATTTCACAGGATGGAGGCAAAGCTAATAGCACAGGTTCACTGTTTTTATACGAACCTCATCACCTCACTGGTTAACTGAATATTTCTAGCAAGAGAATAAGGAGAGAAACTAGGCAACTTTGTGATGGCTAATAATACCAAAGGAAGCAGCACAGGTATTAGGAGAGAGCTCCTTCCAGTACGCTGGCCTACCCTCTTTCATACATCCCCAAACCCACCAAAACAATTAAAAGTACTAAAAATAAATCAGGTGTGAAAATGAATTTTTTCCCTGTAGTTTTTTCTATAGTGTCTATAGTTTTCTATCTTAATCATCCTAGGTAAAGTGGAGAGGCATTGTTTTTGGAAACATCTATTTATCTTCTTTTTTTTTTTTTCCCTGTAAGAACATAGACATATTCTACATGGTTTTCAAACCTGAATTTGTAAGGACAGTAAATATTTCCATTACAAAGATCAGAGACTTGGGAAGGCATGCATTTGAACTCTGATGTCAGCAGGAATTGTAGTGAAAATGATCTATAAAGTCCCATTTTTGTTTTGGGATAAAAGATGAGACAGCCTATGTCAGTACAGAAAAGAGGCAGTGCTTTTTTGTACTCAGACCAAGGAATTTTAAGAGCACGCAGGTGTAGTGTGACAACAGACATTCTGATGATTAAAAGAACAGTCTCCTGAAGGCCACTCAAAGCAAAAAGAAAACCAGTAGAGGAGAAGAATGCATTCCATATTTTAGAAGAGAAATAACTTAATGAATACTGCTAACAGATGCTCTCCAATTCATTACTCTGTCTCAGTGTCTGCCCATCACCGAACTTTGCTAGCATTCAGGTGGCAGCTTATTGCAAATAAATAAGATTAACACAACCGATAGGGTGAGTAAAGAGAAATACCAATCAAATATAAAAATCGTATCATATATCCTTCTCAGTTAAACCAAGGTTAGCATTGGACTTCATACTGATAAAAAAAAACAAAAAACAAAGCCTTACATTTGCTCCTGCTTCAAGGAGGATTCTTGCACATCCTACGTGATCTCCCAGGCAGGCTTCATGAAGTGGAGTTACTTGGTCAATTGTTAGTGTGTCTACATTGTACCCCTAAAATAGATGTGAATGACATTTAAAGATCATACAAAAGCTACTAAGAGTAGTTCCCTCACACTACTGTTCAAATGAAGAGTTGAAAATATTCTAAATAGGCTTAAAACTCAATTTTCAATAAGTAAATCCTCAGTGAGCATAGAAAGAATCTTTCACCAATCAGTGTATAACAGAATAAAAGTAATTTCTCAACTCTTCTTTTTTTTTTTTTAATCAGAAATATGCATAGGATATTGAGGGTATAAAGAAGATTGAAACAGACTGTTGAGATGCACATTGACAGGGCAAAAGGCAACAGACCCAAGTTGGAACATACTAAATTCCAATTAGTTATATGGAAAAAATTTAACAGTGAAACTCTGAAACAGGGGTTCACAGAGGTTGGTACATCTCCACTCTTGGTGATCTTTGAAACACAACAAGGACCTGAGTCTAAACTCTACTGTGACTCTGATCCTCTAACTTAAGTTTTGAAATATCCAAAGCCGTGAATGTTAGCAAGGAAAACAGTCACTGGATTGATAAAATCATCAAGCCCTTTAAATTTTCAGCCACAGATGTTGTTGGATTTTTAAGAACTAATAATTTTATTTATTATCCTTCATCAAATGGGATCTATATTATAATTATGCAATATTAAAGTAGCTGATAGAACAATACTGTAATAATTTAGCAGTTTGAGTCTCTCCCTTCACTATTAACAAGATAATATTTTTCTTAAATGACAATTATGCAAAACCCAGAATCTTTCAGTGATTCTTCTCATTAACTATTATCTTCCTGACTAGCTCTATTTACTCAAAGGAGTTTAAAGCAGTGGAACTACACTGTCTTATACCATGCAAGAGGGAAAGACTGACATACATTTAGACACATTTTGGTAATTCTTTTTTGGGGGGAGGTGGTGTTTAAAACATATAGAGGAAATATTTTAAAATACTAACATGTATTTTAATATGAAAAATTCCTACGTGTGTATTGCACTGAAAAATTCAAATGAAAAAAGGCAATGAAAGCATACTAAGTTTGCATTAATAATCTATGCTGAGAAATTAGGTAACATTAAAAATAAAAGCAACTGTAAGAACACAGCCTTCACCTGTGACAATAAAGTCTTCAGAGAAAGAAGACGTCCTTGACTGGCTGCCTCATGCAGAGGTGAGCGATCTGCCCAAGAACCTATATAAGAACAACATTTATTGAATAAACCATATGAATTATAAAGGGAGCAAGGCAGAAAATATAATGCACAGAATGAAATCAGTAGTCCTGTGAAATTAATTTTTCCTCTTTAGAGACTGCATTTCAAGTGATCAGTTTCTAAACAATAAAAACTGCTCTATTATTAACTGTAAACATCCCTAATAAATGATTATGTGGTACAGAGAATAAAATATTTTCCACTTCTATTTTTGCATTGTGCATTTTTAATACAAGTAATATAACTTATTTTTGTAGCTGGTATATAGGCTTTATTTGAACTTAAACCAGACATAAACCCGCCTGAAGAAGTCACGAAGAAGCCACTGTATCTGAACACCAATGTGGAAATCCCTGTGTATGATGAGATTAATTTGCAGCTACTACGCTATTTCAAGTAGAGAAATACAGTGAGAACCACACTAAAAAAATTACTATAGTAGAAATATGATATTAAGTTCTCATTCCATAAGCTATTAGATATTAGTGATAAATAAATGAAAATAAATTCCAACCCTTTAAAGTAAGCATATCTAATAGGAGAAAAACAAAATAGAAACACACCAACAACCCAGTGTTCACACATATACCCCCTGTAACTCCCAGCCCAGGTTCTGGAGTCATCCTGCAGCTCTGGGTGAAGGACCTGCCCTTTCCTCTAGAAGACTGGATATTGAACAGGTCCCTTCTAGCCATTCAGGTTTGCAGGCATAGCTGATACCGATTTATTGCATGAATTTTGCAAATCGAGTTTTGAGAGACTGTGTAAGCAAGAACCATCTTTAAAGTGTATTAGGAATTACCGATATTTAATCCTGTAAGAAGAAAATCACTAAAACTGTAAAATACTAATACAATCACTCATGTGAGTTATATCAAGCCCTCCAAAATCCCTGAAGAAACATAGAGAGAATTAGCTAAGTATGATGAACTGGTAACATGGGCAGATGAATCTTCAGTGCATAAATGTCTTTGACTTTGTCCATTGCAATGGACGGAACTGCCTACAGAGCCAGTTACTGCATTTTAGTGACAAGGCAATGAATCTTAAATGAGAAGGCTGTTGCTCAGTCACTGGCAATCATCAGTCCAAACTCTAAGATAACTACACACCAGAAATAGACCCTATTTCTGTCTCCTGTTGGTCCCCTTCTGTTCACCAGCCTGTTTCAGAAAGTACACCCTTGGTTGTACAACCCCCTCAAATCACATGAAGAACGACTGAAAAGATTAAAGCTGCTCAACCTGAAAAGAAATTAAGGGATAGTTAAAAGCATGAAATAGCACACAATAGGAAAACATAGATAAAACTCCAATTTTCCTAGAGGTGTTAAGGAATTACAGAGATGTAAGAGGGCACCTTAGAGAACATATAACTGCACTTTGTAACACAGCACTACTGAACACTATTGAGATCAAAAACTTAGCAAAACAAAAGCACATCTGAGTATTTATCATAAAACTACATAAAGCTGATCACAGAAGTTAAAAAAATAGGCTTTATAAACCTGATTTTAAAAATGCAGGGACATTTCTGGTATGTCAGAGTATCCCATGTGTGTGAAGCTCCTTGTGCTCCTTGATCTGTCAGAGTAGATGGACCATTGGCAAGATTCAGTTTCCAATACTCTATCAGAATTATTAGCACTAAGCTACTATTATCTGTGTGTGCACATACATACACATGTGCACACATCATTCCCTGAACTTTCTACTTCAGGCTTATTTAATGTCATGTTTTGAAATTCTTATTGTTAGTCAGAATAAGAGCTAAAAAAACCCAACAACAACTACTTACATAGAAAAATATCTTATAAAACTGCGTTATGAAGTTTTCTGTCCATTAAATACAATCACACTTCAGATATTTTTATAGCCATGTATAAATAGAACAAAGATGCAGGCAGGATCTGAAAGCAACAATTTTTCACGTTTCTTTCCTTCACCTCTTTCCGTCTTGGATTGATCAGAAGTCTGTTAATTACTCCAATGACATTTGCGAATAAAATTATGCCAGATCCCATTGTAAGCTCTGTTTTGCACACAGACCCACCTTATAAAACTATCTTCATGTAGAAATATTTGTCAGCCAGATGTATTTAACGGTAAATCCATTAAACACAAAATGCTTGTATCATCTCTTCAACAAATAAAATCTATAAGCAGAAATATTTTGTGCCAACCAAGTTTGGAAAAAAAAATTACGTTCCAACTGATTGGTCAATATACATAGTAATTCATCATTAAATATCACAGGGGGAAAGAATAAATTTCACAAATAAACATAAAAGGTGTCTTAAATTCTTTGCCTAGATTGCTGCCTTCTGCTAATCTCCAAACTTCGTATGTCTCTCACTTAGAAAGCATTAGCAAAAATATATAACAAGGACACTTTTTCATTCATTGGTGCCTGTAACAATAGTATTAGCAAACATAGGCTATTCCAAAATGTTTAATGCATTATTTCCCTACTGATGTTGTCTCTGACAGATGAATACAAAGGATCTCTAAGCCACATTAGTTTAAAGTTCTCTGATGTATAGTTTACCAGGAGGCCAAATTATTACAAAGCATCATTGCTTTGTAATCATTAACAAGAAAGATTAAATATATTCACTGTATTAACAAGTGAAGCTAAAAAAAAAAAATTACAAATTATCATACAATACCTAAATCTCCATCTCCCCATGGCACTTCCAGCCAATTGCAATTATAAATCCTACTCATTTCTTTCAATCTGGAAAATAAAAAAAAATAAAATAATAATAAAAAAAATATCTGCTCTTACTAGTTGGGCCATTCTTAATACACTCCAGCTATGTTTGGAAGGAGATCAGCAGCTCCCTGTAATATGAACTTTCACTCTTCAGTAAACACAGCTCGAAGATATGAGCGTGCCCAAATTGCCCATTTCTTTTCTTATGTTAAAGGACTGTGGCTGGTTTTGTTAATTTTTCACATTTCTTTTTTTATCATAACAGCTTCTCAAAGTGCCAGTATCTGTGCATTTGCCTTCAAAGACAGATAACTGGAATTTTAACACAAGAGAAACTCACTTGATAAGAATAAACTGCAGAAGAAACTCCCCCTTTTTAAACCTCCTGCAAAGAGACATAGATTTGTATGGGAAACACTGCCAAATGTATGTACATTATTTTGCTACTGACTCATAATATATCTATAAAAGAAATAATCTGAATAATATATATAATATAAAGGTATAATTTGAAATACTATTCTGAACATGTTTCAAATGCTGTTTGATCTGTACACTGAACCGGGGTTTTCTTTTACTAGTTCAATATTGCCTCAAATATCTTCTAAAATATTCTTTGGTTGCTAAATTGGGGTGTCAATAGCTATTCTCAGCAGTGAAAGCATAATTCTCAGTGAAAATGCTCAAAAATGGGGATTTGCAATTCTGACTTTGATCCATTTCTAAGTCATTAATGTTCTCTTTCTCATACGTTCCTACAAAATTCACTCACTTATATCTGTCTACAATTACTTATAAGTCATTCCTGCAGTTGTAATCATAGTAGTAAAATAATAACTAAAAATATTTTCACAGTGGTCATTACCTCCAGTCATACCATCCTGTTGCGTTCATTTCTAAAAATTTGTTTCATCTTCACAATCAAAACAAAAAAAAAGAGCCCAGGTCAGCATAAAAGGTACATTAAAAGTTGGATTTTCAAAATAAAAACTGTAATGAATGAATCTTCTCAGTGACTTCAATGGGAGAATATTTACACCAGAGCTCAGCACTTAAGAAAATTACTGCTCTAAGGCTAAATCCCAGTCCTCAGAAGAAGCAGTATCATCAAAGAATAACTGAAAATAGAAGCCTGACACAGTTCATTATTGGGAGGTGAGAAAGATAGAGTACTTTGAAAGTGTTGTAGCTAATATTTAGTTCTGAAAAACGAACAAATGCTATTTATTAAGATAAGCACTGTTACTTTTCATTTCTTAAGATGTATTCTGAGTGCTTCAGTTTGTGGCAAATGTAGCAACAGACAGAATCAATAACTACAGGAGAAAAACTCTGCAACGTTACAGTCCCAAAATCAACTGAGTCAGTTCAGTTGTTAAAAGTGCATACATACATATTTGGTATATGTAGTTAACTTTTAATAGATTTTTACTGTGGCACCATAAAACTATTTTTCTAAAGCCCTCGTAGGATAAAGGAGAGTGTCAACTACTTAGCTGATATTTGATGTTGAAAACTATTAGAAAGAGTCTTAAATCATGCATTTAAAAGTTAAGAAATTAAACATGCATATAAACAATGAAAACTTGATTGGTTTAAACCAGTATACTTTCCAGTGTTTGTCATAAGGTAGACTTCCAAAATTTGGGTATTTCATTCCAAATGCAAATACCAACAATTTCCTACTCTTGAAAACCATACAAAGCAAATCTATTTTCCCACACAATTCTGACTACAATGCACTCATCCATTCATACTAATTTATAACTAAGGAACCAAAAGACAGAGTTTTAATGCTTAAATTGTAAAACAAGCTAATAGCTTATTTTTTACTGACTAGTTAAGCACTTGAGGCTGAAAGCACAGTTTAATTATGGTTGTGAGAGTTTTGAGCTTCTGAAATTTCAGCCCTAGATAATAACTATGATCAGCCAAGAAACTTTTAGGTTAGATGACTGGTCTTAAAACACATAGGTGCCACAGCTAGAACAAGAATAGTATTTTAGTTTAGGGACATTAAAACATTAACCCTTTTTCCCTACCATCCACTACAACCTTTCTAACCTTTGCAACATACAGGAAAACATTGGGTGTATTTTTTCTAACTCTAAACCTAATGCATTCTCAGAACACCATTCATCTTGCACATCAAAGGAGGCAGGGGCTTTGTGGAAGAGCACAGCATGTGACTGCGCTGTCAAATACTGGGTTATAATGCACTAGAGGGTCAAATTAGTGTGGCCTAGGGAACATTTTGAGTGCTTTGGCACTGCAATTTAGCTTTTCAGACAGAAAAATGAGCCGCTGAACTCCATAAAAAACCTAAAAAAAACACAACAGCAATATCCAAACACAGCTCGCTTGGTTCCCAACAGAGGCAACGTTATGGTACATGAAGACAATGGCAGCAACAGCAGCAGCAGCTGCTGCTGGCTCTGTGCTGGGCCCTGCACACATGGGAAGAAGTTGTCACGCTCCTTCTCCTGTCATGTGAAAGCACAGCTACCCTGTCCATTGCTCATGCACAGTTTCTTTTTTCCAACTTCTCGAAGGACCAACTGTCTGGATATTTTTCTAGCCTAAAGTAGCTTGCAAAGTACCACGGTACTAGCTAGTATCTAGCTAGAGTACCACGGTTAAAATCACATCAACCTCCAAATTCAGAAATTTGTTAAATCACATCATATTTGATTTGAACATGTGGAGCAGCAGCATGTAATATTTTTCAGTTGTTATTTTCTTGGACAAGTCATTAAAACAAAGTAAGGGCTTTTCAGTCCCCTCCCCAATTACAAGATGACAGGAAAGGCATATAGACATTCTAAGCTGAGTTCAGACTTTTGAGGACTTATGTCTGGAATGATTTTTCTCCTCAGTTGCAGTCTCAGCCTTAGACTACAGGCTGTGCTGACTTTTCTCAGTATCTTCCCAGTCTGCCTGAGAATGCAGCACAGGGTCCAATCCCAAGTCTTAAAAGCAGTACACAACTGTGCCGAAAAGCTGAGCCTAATGTGTTGATTTTTGTCACATCCAGGAGATTTTGGTAAAATAGCCTGGTTGTGGCCCCTCAAACCAATAGGCTGAAGACCTTTTTCTAGTCTGACTCTACCCTTTCACCCTTCTATCAAATCTTATCATAATATATTCCACCCCTCACAACACTTTTATCCATTTTCCAATCTGCATATTTACTTACAGACTGCACTGAGGTATGAATTTCCCTTCCTTTGTTCTGCAAGGGTGCCTGCACAGTAAAGTGTTTGCAGGTTTGCATACCTCCATGGGTGAGAACAGTAAGGGAGGAAAGAAGCATCCTTCAGATTTGATAAAAGACATACCTGTTATTCAAGTGAACAGCAACAACCGGAAGTCTGAACTGCAACAGAAGCCTCTCAGTACTTCAAGATGTCCATCAATAAATATATATACCCAGTCTGGCAATTGCAAAGAGGCTCTAAGCAGCTGGACCATGTTAAGGTGAATTCTTCAGAAAATTTCACTTTCCATATTTTACTGTGATTCTCAGAAGTTCAAAACTAGACTAATTATGGGTAATTCTTTATAAGAATAGCAAGAGAGACTAACCATCAACCATGTCAAGGAGCAGCTAGTGCTAACACTAACAATAAACTATTACAAAATTTCCTTTCAGCTGAGGGTGAATGTCCTAGTTCTTTGGGAACTACTGATCTAACTAGCTAAAACATCCATAAATGAAAGTTTCTGTAGGTCAGGAAATCTTAATTCAAACAGTGAACAACATGAGGGCAAAAGATGCACTGCATATTAAAATTGATGAATAAATACATCCTTACAGTATCATTGCAGTCAAATGGTTACTTAGAAGATAAGAAAACTGGTGCTTAAATTCTTGAATATTGTTTAATTCTAAAACTGTAAGTACTGGAAATCAGTAAAGGTATTTTAAGAATAACTCTGATTCCTATAACATATAGCTGTCTACATAGTAAATTCACCATTTTTTTATGCATATGAAATCACTCTTGCCTGTGTGCTTCTTTCCTTGACTATTTTAACATCTCCAGTTTTTAATCTTATAACAAATTATCATGAATTTCAAGTTTGATTTCCCTAATTTCTTTTTTTGTTTTATCTACACCTTATAATGTCACCAATATTAAATGTAATTATGATTACTCTCTTAAAAAAATTCCTCTCAGACTCTCAAAATTGCTCAAAGCTCCCTTTTACATAATTGTGTTTTGAAAAAAATAGGAAAGCATGGTACAGGCGCTGGGAGTTCTAAACACTCCTATTATAATGGAGTTTGTTCCTCATTCCTGAAACTGTCAGTGATAAGCCACTTAAATACATCCTGAGTACTTCTCTATTCAAAGCCTTACAATTATACCTTTGTCTTTAGAATCTTAGTAGAGGACAATAATTCTGTCACATGTAGTTCCTCTATTGTCTTCTATTTCAGCTACCTATAAACTCTTTCCATATGAAGTTATATGTAAAGTTTACTCCTCCCCCTCCTTTCATTCCCCAGTTCCCTCTTGTAAATGATTACCCTTCAGTATCCAGTTACCTTCTGACAGGACAGCAAAAGTCAGGGTAAGTCAAGCCTTAAACTCTTGCATAAAACAAATAGGGCAGATAAACAAGAAACGGTATTTTTGATCAGCTGATAAGGGAGCAGAAAGAACAAAAATAGCTTCAATACGTTTCTGTTAACCCATGCAAGACAATAAAGTGCCACTAGCATAAGCATGCATTTACATTACAGCTAAGAAAAAAAGCAAAAAAACCCCAAAGCTTATAGCTAGAACATCACAATTTGGGTCAGCTTAGCATATTTCAGTATACAGTTTCTGAAATGGCTGCTATACTAACCTTGGCTGGTCAGAATACCCCAGCTAGCTTTCCGTTTGGCAGGACACTCCCCTATACTTTCTAGGCGTCTTTTGGGGAGATTCTGGCTCCTCTGAACAGCAGTGTTTGTTGTCATGATTTGTTTCTCGAGGGCAGCTTGTCTGTCATTGGTGCAGGTACTCTGGTCTGACGAACATCCACAAATGAATTTCTACTACCTTTTTTTCCTCCTTTCACTTTTTCACAGAGGATCTTGCTGTACTTACTGTAGAATGGCTACAACACTGAAATCCATTCAGTTACATTTACTAGCTTGGACTAGTGACTACAGAGTGGGGGAAGGGAAGGACTGCTCTAGCATTTTCTATTTTTAAAACAGAGAAAGAATCAGCTTAGCTACAGCATGAGTCTTAACTATTTACATGATTTAAATGGAAAGAAGGTGTTAATTTTTTAATCATTTAACACAAAAAAGGAACAGATCCTTAAAGCTTAAGTATTCAAATGCTTTGCTGCTTGAATACCAAAAACAGAAAACCAAACCTATTTTATCAGAATGGAAATTCTTTTAAGAATAGAAACAACAATTATTATTGCATCAGGCTTTACTTATATGTAATGTACAGTTAAGAGAGATTTTGCAATTCAGGAGAAAACATGAAACTATGAAGCATTGCTGGTTTTTTGTGGTTTGTTTGTTGTTATTTTAAATAGGGCACAAGTTATTCTACAAATGCCAACTGAAAACTACATCCTGAATAAAAGCATGCTTTTACTACAAAAAAAATGGTTACTTTGAAATTCTGATTCCATTATGAAAGTAAGGCTGTAGTCTTCTCACAAGAAGTACAAGTCAATATTTTTTAATAATAACAAAAAACCCCAAATAGTACTAGAACTTTTTTGTCCATGACTATGTATCACAGTGATACTATAGAACAGAAATATGGAGAGAGAAGAAATCCATGACAAAATTCCAGCATGGTTAAACAGGACAGTGATTTCTCTGTACTAATAACGTGTTAAAATGTTGCCTTTATCGCGCTGCCAGTTCCGCCTAGTATTTCAACACTATCCTCTTCTACAGATATAAAAACTAGCCACTTCTAAATTTTTTTAAAGCATATCAGCATTACTGAATTAGTGAACCTATTCTTTTTTTCTGTACCTGACAAAACTCAATCCCTAAAATGCTGAAATAATACACAGGTATTTAATGAAATTTTCTATATTTCTCTTGGTTTTCTTTAAGAGAAAATTAGAGGCAAGATTAGTTAAAGTGAGGGGAAGAAGGAGCAGCTCAGCTGCAAATTTCACCTTGAAATTACAGCATATGAGAACTGCCTTACTTGGAATAGTGCTACAGTCTTTACAGAAGCAGGTGGGCTACTGCTGTTCTCACAAGAGAGAACAAAACTGCACTCTCACAGATGTTATGCAGCTTTCAGACACCTGTTTTTCTCAGGTTTTATCTACCTGAATGAAACAGGCTATCTCACAGACTGAAATAAACACTTCAATGGATCCAGCAATCAGACTCTGCAAGTAAGTCTTGAACAGAGCTTTCAAGAAAGCATTCATTATAGATGGCACATTATAAATATATCACTTCTAATACTAGAATTACTTGTTACTTTGCAATGTTGTCTTCAAGTAAATGAATACTGGAAGAGGAATTACCAGGAAAGCTTACTAAAGATGTGTACATGTGTCTGAACAGGAAGATACCAGCATTATTTTTCAAGTGAGAAATAAGCACTGACAATTTCTGTACTTGCCAAGCTCATCACAGTTTTACATTTGGAATGGAATCCCAGGACTTTCAGAAGATGGTGGTGAGAATCAGGATTAAGCAAAGCATCTGGAACCGCAGAGCAGGAATTGACAGTGGTCTGGGAATACAAAACCTATTTTTTTTTATAGGAGTTTTTGGGTGACGTCATCAGTTGAGAATGAAGCTGGATCCTTCTACAGGAGCGGCACAAACCTGGAAGTAATTCATACAAGTTGCTTTCCACAGATATTCCAGCCTCTGTTCTCTCTTACTAGTCTGAGAGGCGTGGCAAGGAAACCAGAAGGTACACAGACAGCTGCCATGGCTTCAAAGAGGAAAACCCCCAAGGTGGTCAGCATCACCTGCTCACTCTTGTCCAGAGAACTGCATAATGTTCATAATGTTCAATATGTTACCTCCATAAACAATAGAGTTAGACCACCCCCAGAATCCTCTACTTTCAAAGCATGGGTTATGGGAACAGTATCTGTATTCCACAGACCTTTGACACTCAGTAAGTTACTTTGAATACTTTGGAGGACATTAAAATGCAATGTATTTTCATGCTTTGAAGTAGGCAAAGTTATTCAGTTATCCAGTTCAGGACTCTAGAAGCAACTTTACATTAAATTCTGCTAGGCACAACCATTCATCCTCCAGGCAATAACCATTAAAATGTCCTTTTAAAACTATTCATAAATACAACTTAGGAAAAAAAAAATGAAAGCTATAACAGCATCAGAAATCAACTGGAATTGTATTAGAAATATACTTGAGATATTAATATAAAGAGGGGATGAATATACAGTTAAACCAATGTAGTAAGACTGCAGTTTTCTATTTCACTTCCACCTCTGATCTTCCTCAAGTCAACCATCCATGCACTGGACTACATCAGCTACAAAATAAAAATCAGTATTCCTCAACTTCATTAGGTAATAAAACTATCAACATTTGAAACTACTTGGGCTTAGTCCTCAGATTCTGTTCTTTAGATTTTTCTCTATAGAAGACACTCAAACACTTCCAAAATCTGCCAGAAAACCTATCACAGAAGTTTAAACAGATGTCCAAGCATGTAAAAAAATACATGCTTGACCATTACTTTCCATGACTTATCAAAAAACTGATTAGGGACAGTATTTAGATTACAGTTACTCATGAAAGCAATGCAAGTACCTGCAAAAAAAGTAGCCAGGGGAAGGGGTAGACACTACAGTCTAAGAGGAAACCGGAGGATTTTACTGATGAGTTTGAAATTATAACCTAATTTAGCATACAAGCTTTAAATAAACCACTATGTTACATTTCACTAACTATTAGTTCTGTTTGACTTTTACAACCCCGGGGGAAGAACTGTTAAAGAAAACTTGCAATTTTTTTTTTAATCCAGATTTTTATGAAACGAAACATCAGTACAGTTTCAAAATTTTCATGTCAGCAAATAACTCTGAGTTTAAAGGGGCAGCAGTTCTTAACAGGTGGGAATGAAAATGGAAAGAAATTTTTGTTCCTCCCTTTCAGCAGGGAGCTCATTCTATTTTCAAGACTGTTTTTAAGGCAATAAAGATGCAGTTGAGGTAACAAACAAAAAATGTGTTAATAAAACCAATAATACCCAAAACCTCCCACACCTTCCAACACATGATGTAGCCCAATGCAATATAGTCCAAACTCCTATAGAGTTATACATAATATCTATCCTATAGATAGATAGTCCAATCTATCTTAGGAAAAACTGGACAAAATTGCACTATTTTCAAATATCACAAATCAGCATTTTATGTGCAACTCTCTCAAGCTAGCCAACTGATGAGCCACTTTGCTTCCCAAACTGTTCTGTACTTTCAGGTTGACTCTATTTTTATGACCAGGATTATTATGGGGTCACACTGACTGCATGGAACCTGCCACACTAAATTCTGGAACAGGACTAGCAACTGACTCTTCCTGCTGATGTGATCCACAGACTACAACCATGAAGGGGAAAAGACAGACAGGCTCCCTGTGGTGCAGTGCCAGTACCCCAAGAGTGGCCTGCCATTTGACATGGCCAGAAATGAACCAGATGAGAGCTTGGACATTCCTCCCTGTAGGAGAAGTCAGGATGGAACAATTTTTAGAAAGAATTACAGAACTGTGGTTACTGACAAAAACAGCATCCTACAAGGCCACAATTGGCCACTGTTACATTCTGCAGTGCTGGCTCAATGCCAAAGAACTTAAATGCACCATAAAAGTACAGTGATAAAGCTCTAACAGCAGAACAGGGAAAGGACTGTAACAACTTCTTTTTTTTTTTTAAACAAATACTTGCATCAAGCCATATTTCGTGGTAAGTACAGTGTTGGTATGTCATTAGCAGTCAAACAGAAGCTTAGGCATTATTCTGGTGTCACCAACCAGTCCTGTGCTCTCCACATCTTGACAAATACAGCATAGCTATATCACAGCAGATATAGAGATAATACTTTAATGGTCATTAGTTGCTTATGTGTAAGATGACATTTCTTTATACCACTGTAAGCACTAAAAGAGTCTACTACATATTTTTAATACAATATCATCACTGTCTCTTAGCTGGAAATCCAAATTATTATTATTATTATTATTATTATTATTGTTAAGGTAGCAACAAGCACAGATGGCTAGTAATTTTCCTATCTCTTCTCCTGAGGTTTTTACAGTTCTTACACCTCATATCCTTACATGCTGGAAATCATAACTGAAGATTGAAAAAAGATTTAAACTTTTGATATTATAAAGGCTTTGTCTGAGGCCTCCCAGAATTCAAATACAGATCAATGATACATTTATTGGCTTGTGGATTTGCAATGTGTACCTGCCAGACTCTTCATGCAGACAGGCAACGATAAGATAGAGTATTTTCTAATATGTAAATTAAACCAAATCACAGCAATCATGTGGATGAACCTGGGCAAATCAGTCACCAAGCAGGCCTGGGCTTCAGATATTGACAGAGAAGAAGGACACAGGCATGAAACCAGTAGTGATCATGGGAGTGGTACAGGGCATCCCAGAGGGAATCTTCAGGTAATTACGGTGAACGAACAGGAACAGCCACAAAGAGAGAGATTGTTATCTATTGACAGAAACACTCTAGACATGGCAGAGTAACATCCACTAGTGCAACAGATGCAGCATGCCACAATGGATTTATGACCACCCCGCCAGTATTGCTGCAGTCACGAACAGAGCTCAGTACTTAGGCATGCAATGCAATTCCCCCCAAGCCATTATCATCTAACCCTGGCAGAAGTTCACTCACTTCTCGCCTGCATTGCCAATGTTTGAGAACATCCCCTACAAGAGAGGAATGTGAATAGCAGAACCCTGGCCATAAGAAGCCTCTGGCTGAAGTAACATCACCTTCAGGGAGCTATGCTATTTTGGTCTTCCCCTATTGCCTTATGCTCCACCACTGCAAAAAAGACCATTGCAGATGGTATGGCTGAGCTTGCCCCTGTACTGCAGTTTTCTACAGATTTTCTTTAACATCAGTTCTTTTTAAAGCCTTGCAGACAGATTGT